CACACTATGAAGACACTTCACCATGGCACACCAGAAAGACACTTCACCATGCCACACCAGGAAGTCACCTCACCATGCCACACCAGGAAGTCACCTCACCATGCCACACCAGGAAGACACTTCACCATGCCACACCAGGAAGACACTCCACCATGCCACACCAGGAAGACACTTCACCATGCCACACCAGGAAGACACTTCACCATGCCACACCAGGAAGACACTTCACCATGCCACACCAGGAAGACACTTCACCATGCCACACCAGGAAGACACTTCACCATGCCACACCAGGAAGACACTTCACCATGCCACACCAGGAAGACACTTCACCATGCCACACCAGGAAGACACTTCACCATGCCACACCAGGAAGACACTTCACCACACCAGGAAGACACTCCACCATGCCACACCAGGAAGACACTTTACCATGCTACACCAGTAAGACACCTTAGTTTTAGCAGCATCCAGATTCTGCTCCAGAAAAAAAAAAAAACCTTCCTTTGACTACATATTTGTTCACCATGTGAACCTGGCATTCTGATAAAGAAAAATTTTTCATGATTAAAACATCGCCCACACTGGATTTCATGATCACATGACATGATCTGACACTACTGCAGGGAGTTTAACCTGCGAAGAGTTTCACACATAGAATGAGCTTAGTAGCTCAAGGGAAGTCCCTGTAAGATTTCATAAACAACTGCACTTGCAAATGGCACAATTGAGTCTGAAATAGAATTAGCAAATTTAAGATTAAAGGACAAATGGCTTAACCACATTGTTAGAGCAGCTTAACCACACTGTATGAGCAGCTTAACCACATTGTTAGAGCAGCTTAACCACATTGTTAGAGCAGCTTAACCACACTGTTAGAGCAGCTTAACCACATTGTAAGAGCAGCTTAACCACTTTGTTAGAGCAGCTTAACCACATTGTAAGAGCAGCTTAACCACTTTGTTAGAGCAGCTTAACCACTTTGTTAGAGCAGCATAACCACATTGTTAGAGCAGCTTAACCACTTTGTTAGAGCAGCTTAACCACTTTGTTAGAGCAGCATAACCACATTGTTAGAGCAGCATGACCACATTGTTAGAGCAGCATAACCACATTGTTAGAGCAGCATAACCACATTGTTAGAGCAGCATAACCACTTCGTTAGAGCAGCATAACCACATTGTTAGAGCAGCATAACCACATTGTTAGAGCAGCATAACCACTTTGTTAGAGCAGCTTAACCACACTGTTAGAGCAGCTTAACCACTTTGTTAGAGCAGCTTAATTACACTGTTAGAGCAGCATAACCACATTGTTAGAGCAGCATAACCACATTGCTAGAGCAGCATAACCACTTCGTTAGAGCAGCTTAACCACACTGTTAGAGCAGCTTAACCACACTGTTAGAGCAGCTTAACCACATTGTTAGAGCAGCATAACCACATTGTTAGAGCAGCATAACCACTTCGTTAGAGCAGCTTAACCACACTGTTAGAGCAGCTTAATCACACTGTTAGAGCAGCATAACCACATTGTTAGAGCAGCATAACCACATTGCTAGAGCAGCATAACCACTTCGTTAGAGCAGCTTAACCACACTGTTAGAGCAGCTTAACCACACTGTTAGAGCAGCTTAACCACATTGTTAGAGCAGCTTAACCACATTGTTAGAGCAGCATAACCACTTCGTTAGAGCAGCTTAACCACACTGTTAGAGCAGCTTAACCACACTGTTAGAGCAGCTTAACCACACTGTTAGAGCAGCATAACCACATTGTTAGAGCAGCATAACCACATTGTTAGAGCAGCATAACCACTTTGTTAGAGCAGCATAACCACTTTGTTAGAGCAGCTTAACCACACTGTTAGAGCAGCATAACCACATTGTTAGAGCACCTTAACCACACTGTTAGAGCAGCATAACCACTTTGTTAGAGCAGCTTAACCACACTGTTAGAGCAGCATAACCACATTGTTAGAGCAGCTTAACCACTTCGTTAGAGCAGCTTAACCTCACTGTTAGAGCAGCTTAACCACTTCGTTAGAGCAGCTTAACCACACTGTTAGAGCAGCTTAACCACATTGTTAGAGCAGCATAACCACATTGTTAGAGCAGCTTAACCACACTGTTAGAGCAGCTTAACCACACTGTTAGAGCAGCATAACCACATTGTTAGAGCAGCTTAACCACACTGTTAGAGCAGCTTAACCACACTGTTAGAGCAGCTTAATCACACTGTTAGAGCAGCATAACCACATTGTTAGAGCAGCATAACCACATTGTTAGAGCAGCTTAACCACACTGTTAGAGCAGCTTAACCACATTGTTAGAGCAGCATAACCACATTGTTAGAGCAGCTTAACCACATTGTTAGAGCAGCTTAACCACATTGTTAGAGCAGCTTAACCACATTGTTAGAGCAGCTTAACCACTTTGTTAAAGCAGCTTAACCACTTCGTTAGAGCAGCTTAACCACTTCGTTAGAGCAGCTTAACCACACTGTTAGAGCAGCTTAACCACACTGTTAGAGCAGCTTAACCACATTGTTAGAGCAGCATAACCACATTGTTAGAGCAGCTTAACCACATTGTTAGAGCAGCTTAACCACATTGTTAGAGCAGCTTAACCACATTGTTAGAGCAGCTTAACCACTTTGTTAAAGCAGCTTAACCACTTCGTTAGAGCAGCTTAACCACTTCGTTAGAGCAGCTTAACCACACTGTTAGAGCAGCTTAACCACATTGTTAGAGCAGCTTAACCATTTGGTTAGAGCAGCATAACCACTTCGTTAGAGCAGCTTAACCACTTTGTTAGAGCAGCTTAACCACATTGTTAGAGCAGCTTAACCACTTTGTTAGAGCAGCTTAACCACTTTGTTAGAGCAGCTTAACCACATTGTTAGAGCAGCTTAACTACATTGTTAGAGCAGCTTAACCACATTGTTAGAGCAGCTTAACCACTTTGTTAGAGCAGCTTAACCACATTGTTAGAGCAGCTTAACCACACTGTTAGAGCAGCTTAACCACACTGTTAGAGCAGCTTAACCACACTGTTAGAGCAGCTTAACCATATTGTTAGTTCAGCTTAACCACATTGTTAGAGCAGCTTAACCACTTTGTTGGAGCAGCTTAACCACACTGTTAGAGCAGCTTAACCACACTGTTAGAGCAGCTTAACCACATTGTTAGTTCAGCTTAACCACATTGTTAGAGCAGCTTAACCACACTGTTATAGCAGCTTAACCACATTGTTAGTTCAGCTTAACCACATTGTTAGAGCAGCTTAACCACTTTGTTAGAGCAGCTTAACCACTTTGTTAGAGCAGCTTAACCACACTGTTAGAGCAGCTTAACCACACTGTTAGAGCAGCTTAACCACACTGTTAGAGCCGCTTAACCACTTTGTTAGAGCAGCTTAACCACATTGTTAGAGCAGCTTAACCACATTGTTAGAGCAGCTTAACCACATTGTTAGAGCAGCCTAACCACTTTGTTAGAGCAGCTTAACCACATTGTTAGAGCAGCTTAACCACTTTGTTAGAGCAGCTTAACCACTTTGTTAGAGCAGCCTAACCACTTTGTTAGAGCAGCTTAACCACTTTGTTAGAGCAGCTTAACCACACTGTTAGAGCAGCTTAACCACTTTGTTAGAGCAGCTTAACCACTTTGTTAGAGCAGCTTAACCACATTGTTAGAGCTGCTTAACCACACTGTTAGAGCAGCTTAACCACATTGTTAGAGCAGCTTAACCACATTGTTAGAGCAGCTTAACCACATTGTTAGAGCAGCTTAACCACATTGTTAGAGCAGCTTAACCACATTGTTAGAGCAGCTTAACCACATTGTTAGAGCAGCTTAACCACATTGTTAGAGCAGCTTAACCACATTGTTAGAGCAGCTTAACCACATTGTTAGAGCAGCTTAACCACATTGTTAGAGCAGCTTAACCACATTGTTAGAGCAGCTTAACCACATTGTTAGAGCAGCTTAACCACATTGTTAGAGCAGCTTAACCACTTTGTTAGAGCAGCTTAACCACATTGTTAGAGCAGCTTAACCACATTGTTAGAGCAGCTTAACCACATTGTTAGAGCAGCTTAACCACTTTGTTAGAGCAGCTTAACCACTTTGTAAGAGCAGCTTAACCACACTGTTAGAGCAGCTTAACCACACTGTTACAGCAGCTTAACCACATTGTTAGAGCAGCTTAACCACTTTGTTAGAGCAGCTTAACCACTTTGTTAGAGCAGCTTAACCACTTTGTTAGAGCAGCTTAACCACACTGTTAGAGCAGCTTAACCACACTGTTAGAGCAGCTTAACCACATTGTTAGAGCAGCTTAACCACATTGTTAGAGCAGCTTAACCACATTGTTAGAGCAGCCTAACCACATTGTTAGAGCAGCTTAACCACATTGTTAGAGCAGCTTAACCACATTGTTAGAGCAGCTTAACCACATTGTTAGAGCAGCTTAACCACTTTGTTAGAGCAGCTGAACCACTTTGTTAGAGCAGCTTGACCACTTTGTTAGAGCATTCTGAAGCCAAGACAAAGAGAATGAGATGAAGTTTATGAGAAAATGTGTGTTTGTGGGATACATATAAAAACATGAGATATAGAGAGTTGAAAAATATGTCTTAGAGGCAAAGTGAGTGACAGAGGGAGAGAGAGAGAGAGAGAGAGAGAGAGAGAGAGAGAGAGAGAGAGAGAGAGAGAGAGAGAGAGAGAGAGAGAGAGAGAGAGAGAGAGAGAGAGAGAGAGTTAGAGAATGAGAGATTGTATACAAGAGAAAATCAGTGAGAGAAATAAATAGCAAGAGTGGGAGACAGTGAGTTTAAATATATGAGTGAGAGTGACAGAGTGAAAGAGAAAGACAGTAACAAAAACAAAAAAAAAAGAGAGTGAAAGGGTTTGTGTGAGGTAGACTGAGGAGATATGAGAGAGAACAGACAGAGAAAGATAGCAACAAACAAAACTCAGCATTGACTGTCTAATTTCAGGCAATCTTCATTTTGATGATGTTGGGCTGGCTATTTGTGCCTGTCTACATTGCAGCTGGAGTAAGTATAGATGTTTCTACAATTAAATACTGTAGATACAGTGGCAAACTATCTAATCAGCTGAGTGACTGACTGACAGTAAGTGGCCAACTATCTAATCAGCTGACTGACTGACTGACAGTAAGTGGCCAACTATCTAATCAGCTGACTGACTGACAGTAAGTGGCCAACTATCTAATCAGCTGACTGACTGACAGTAAGTGGCCAACTATCTAATCAGCTGAGCTGACTGAGCTGACTGACAGTAAGTGGCCAACTATCTAATCAGCTGACTGACTGACAGTAAGTGGCCAACTATCTAATCAGCTGACTGACTGACTGACAGTAAGTGGCCAACTATCTAATCAGCTGACTGACTGACAGTAAGTGGCCGACTATCTAATCAGCTGACTGACTGACAGTAAGTGGCCAACTATCTAATCAGCTGACTGACTGACAGTAAGTGGCCAACTATCTAATCAGCTGACTGACTGACTGACAGTAAGTGGCCAACTATCTAATCAGCTGACTGACTGACAGTAAGTGGCCAGCTATCTAATCAGCCTGACTGACTGATAGTAAGTGGACAGCTATCTAATCAGCTGACTGACTGACAGTAAGTGGCCAGCTATCTAATCAGCTGACTGACTGACAGTAAGTGGCCAGCTGTCTAATCAGACTGACTGACTGACAGTAAGTGGCCATCTATCTAATCAGACTGACTGACTGACTGACTGACAGTAAGTGGCCAACTATCTAATCAGACTGACTGACTGACTGACAGTAAGTGGCCAGCTATCTAATCAGACTGACTGACTGACAGTAAGTGGCCAACTATCGAATCAGACTGACTGACTGACAGTAAGTGGCCAACTATCGAATCAGACTGACTGATTGACTGACTGACAGTAAGTGGCCAACTATCTAATATGACTGACTGACTGACTGACTGACTGACAGTAAGTGGCCAGCTATCTAATCAGACTGACTGACTGACAGTAAGTGGCCAACTATCTAATCAGACTGACTGACTGACAGTAAGTGGTCAACTATCGAATCAGACTGACTAACTGACAGTAAGTGGCCAACTATCTAATCAGCTGACTGACTGACTGACAGTAAGTGGCCAACTATCTAATCAGCTGACTGACTGACTGACAGTAAGTGGCCAACTATCTAATCAGCTGACTGACTGACAGTAAGTGGCCAACTATCTAATCAGCTGACTGACTGACAGTAAGTGGCCAACTATCTAATCAGCTGACTGACTGACAGTAAGTGGCCAACTATCTAATCAGCTGACTGACTGACAGTAAGTGGACTATCTAATCAGCTGACTGACTGTAAGTGGCCAACTATCTAATCAGCTGACTGACTGACAGTAAGTGGCCACTATCTAATCTGACTGACTGACAGTAAGTGGCCAACTATCTAATCAGCTGACAGTAAGTGGCCAACTATCTAATCACTGACTGACTGACAGTAAGTGGCCAACTATCTAATCAGCTGACTGACTGACAGTAAGTGGCCAACTATCTAATCAGCTGACTGACTGACAGTAAGTGGCCAACTATCTAATCAGCTGACTGACTGACAGTAAGTGGCCAACTATCTAATCAGCTGACTGACTGACAGTAAGTGGCCAGCTATCTAATCAGCTGACTGACTGACAGTAAGTGGCCAACTATCTAATCAGCTGACTGACTGACAGTAAGTGGCCAGCTATCTAATCAGCTGACTGACTGACAGTAAGTGGCCAGCTATCTAATCAGCTGACTGACTGACAGTAAGTGGCCAGCTATCTAATCAGCTGACTGACTGACAGTAAGTGGCCAACTATCAAATCAGACTGACTGACTGACAGTAAGTGGCCAGCTATCTAATCAGCTGACTGACTGACAGTAAGTGGCCAACTATCTAATCAGCTGACTGACTGAGAGTAAGTGGCCAACTATCTGATCAGCTGACTGACAGTAAGTGGCCAACTATCTAATTAGCTGACTGACTGACAGTAATGGACCATTTTCCATGCCTGCACATGTATATGGTCATACCTGTATAAGACTAGACCTATTTTTTACAGACCAGTCTTCATTCTGTTTTTAATCTGGTCAATATCGCGTCCACCCCCTTTACTTCCTAGGAATGTTCCTGGTACCCATTTAACGCTGGGTCAACCTGGCAGCTAGGGTCAGGCTCCATCAAGACCTGAACCCAGGACTTTCTGATCCACAGGTGAACCGCATCAGTCACTACACCAGGGAAGCTCCACTGACCGACAGAGATAACTCATAATATGTTGGACTGACTGATTGACTGAATGACTGATTGACTGAATGACTGATTGACTGAATGACTGATTGACTGAATCACTGATTGACTGAATGACTGATTGACTGAATGACTGGTTGAGTGCTAGCAAATAGTTAAAAAATTATTGTTGTCTCCACAATAAAGGTTGACTACAGTGAACCCTCTGCTGTCTTTAGGAATAGGACATAGTCAGGTCACAATCTTTTCCACAGCAAGTGATAGAAATACTATGCAGTGCACTAGCCAAACAATCAGTGGACTAGCCAAACAATCAATGCACTAGCCAGACAATCAGTGCACTAGCCAGACAATCAGTGCACTAGCCAAACAATCAGTGCACTAGCCAAACAATCAGTGCACTAGCCAAACAATCAGTGCACTAGCCAAACAATCAGTGGACTAGTCAAACAATCAGTGGACTAGTCAAACAATCAGTGGACTAGTCAAACAATCAGTGCACTAGCCAGACAATCAGTGCACTAGCCAAACAATCAGTGCACTAGCCAAACAATCAGTGCACTAGCCAAACAATCAGTGCACTAGCCAAACAATAAGTGCACTAGCCAAACAATCAGTGGACTAGCCAAACAATCAGTGCACTAGCCAAACAATCAGTGCACTAGTCAAACAATCAGTGCACTAGCCAAACAATCAGTGGACTAGCCAAACAATCAGTGCACTAGCCAAACAATCAGTGGACTAGTCAAACAATCAGTGCACTAGTCAAACAATCAGTGCACTAGTCAAACAATCAGTGCACTAGTCAAACAATCAGTGCATTAGCCAAACAATCAGTGGACTAGCCAAACAATCAGTGCAGAAGCCAAACAATCAGTGCACTAGCCAAACAATAAGTGCACTAGCCAAACAATCAATGGACTAGCCAAACAATAAGTGCACTAGCCAAACAATCAATGGACTAGCCAAACAATCAGTGGGACTAGCCAGACAATCAGTGGACTAGCCTAAACAATCAGTGCACTACCCAGACAATCAGTGCACTAGCCAAACAATCAATGCACCAGCCAGACAATCAGTGCACTAGCTAAACAATCAGTGGACTTGTGAAATAAATCAAAAGGCTATTGTGAAGCAGTTAGTGGACACCAGGAGTGGTCAGTTAGGTAGAAAATCAGTTAGTCGACTAATAGAAATAATGTAAGCTAGTATATAAATTTGAACTATTGAAATAATACAAGCTGGTGGAGCAATGATAGACTTAATGGAATAACAAGCTAGTGGAGCAATGATAGACTTAATGGAATAACAAGCTAGTGAAGCAATGATAGACTTAATGGAATAACAAGCTAGTGGAGCAATGATAGACCTAATGGAATAATAAGCTAGTGGAGCAATGATAGACCTAATGGAATAACTAAGGAATAAAGCTAGTGGAGCAATGATAGACCTAATGGAATAACAAGCTAGTGGAGCAATGATAGACCTAATGGAATAACAAGCTAGTGGAGCAATGATAGACCTAATGGAATAACAAGCTAGTGGAGCAATGATAGACCTAATGGAATAACAAGCTAGTGGAGCAATGATAGACCTAATGGAATAATAAGCTAGTGGAGCAATGATAGACCTAATGGAATAACAAGCTAGTGGAGCAATGATAGACCTAATGGAATAACAAGCTAGTGGAGCAATGATAGACCTAATGGAATAACAAGCTAGTGGAGCAATGATAGACTTAATGGAATAACAAGCTAGTGGAGCAATGATAGACCTAATGGAATAACAAGCTAGTGAAGCAATGATAGACCTAATGGAATAATAAGCTAGTGGAGCAATGATAGACCTAATGGAATAACAAGCTAGTGGAGCAATGATAGGCCTAATGGAATAACAAGCCAGTGAAGCAATGATAGACCTAATGGAATAATAAGCTAGTGGAGCAGTGACAGATCTAATGGAATAACAAGCCAGTGGAGCAATGATAGACTTAATGGAATAATAAGCTAGTGGAGCAATGATAGACTTAATGGAATAACAAGCTAGTGGAGCAATGATAGACCTAATGGAATAATAAGCTAGTTCACAATAATGAACTACGGAAATAATTTGGGCTAGTAAAAACATTTTGTGAACTAAGAAAATAATGTAGGTTAGTGGGGCAATTATTGCATTTCCTAAATAATCTGCTGGCAAGTGGAATGATTAATGAACTAGTGGAACAGTTTTAGACTAGAGAAGCAATTAGTGGACACATGGCATGTTTAATTCCATCAGTGATTACAAATGTTTCTTTGTCTCCTTGAACAGGTATTCACTATGCCAGAGTATCTGAGGAAACGTTTTGGTGGACAGAGAATTCGAATCTACTTGTCTGTTCTTGCCCTCATTCTCTACGTCTTCACCAAGATTTCTGTGAGTTTTCTTTAGTTGTTATATATTTGAATATCATGCTAGCAAATGTTTCCACCCTTATTATTGGTGTGTTTTCTTTGCTTTTAACGATGTAAACTGTTTGTCGAAAGTCAGTCAGTCAGAAAGTCAGTCAGTAAATATGTGGGTGAGAATGTAAGTAAGTGGATAAGTCAGTGCATTATGGTGGGTGAGAATGTAAGTAAGTGGATAAGTCAGTGCATTATGGTGGGTGGGGGGGAGAATGTAAGTAATGGTCAGCGCATTATGGTGGGAGAATGTAAGTAAGTGGATAAGTCAGTGCATTATGGTGGGTGAGAATGTAAGTAAGTGGATAAGTCAGTGCATTATGGTGGGTGAGAATGTAAGTAAGTGGATAAGTCAGTGCATTATGGTGGGTGAGAATGTAAGTAAGTGGATAAGTCAGTGCATTATGGTGGGTGAGAATGAATAAGTGGATAAGTCAGTGGCATTATGGTGGGTAATGTAAGTAAGTCAGTGCATTATGGTGGGTGAGAATGTAAGTAAGTGGCTAAGTCAGTGCATTATGGTGGGTGAGAATGTAAGTAAGTGGATAAGTCAGTGCATTATGGTGGGGGATTTAGCAAGTGGGTGACTAAGTCAGAGCTTGTACACTCATCAATATTCATTCACAAAGTGAAAGCATAAAGAACATGTAAAGTGAGCGGAAAAGCTGAGAAAAAGCTCAAAGCAGCAGAGATGTGATTTCTGACGAGACTACCAAGAACAACATGAATACACCGAAAAATGAATCAAGCAGTGCAGACAAAAACAGATGAAACCATAACTGATTAGAAACATTAGACATTTTAATGATTTTGTTATGATGGGAAATTTATTGAAAACTTGGTGACATCTGACATCGTTGTGGAAAAAGTAAAAGGGAAAACAAAGAGATAAAGACAGTTGATTTGATCATAGGACATTGGTGGGACAAAACCATGCAGACTATTTAGTTTTTTCATCCTGTTTCCACTGTTGCAAGATATCATAGGACATTTTCAAGGACAGTCCTACAATCCAGGGCTGTTATAACATGCCATGTGTATATAATGTGCCAAAAAGGGTCAAGGCTTTGCTCGAATTGGTCGACACACTGTCTTTTTTTTCTTCCAGATGAAAGTGAGCAACTTTCTTTTCTGGGAACGACTGTTCAGGGGTTAGATTTAGGGTTAGGGTAAGATGCAGGAATACTGACAGGTCAAGGCAATTTGAGGTGAAAGCCAGGTCAAAAGGTAAGAACAGAGCTTGCAAACATTGCAGAGTGCGGGCGAGGAAATAAACAAAAGTAACACACACTGGATATCAGGACGCAATAAATGATAACAAGGCTCAAAAGAACCAACATATGACACGGCTAGAATATAGGATTTTTACAGTTAGTGTTAAATGAATAGTGACTAGGACTATCCCTTTCCTTAGCTCCCAAGACTATAGGACTGTCCCGTGGAATTTCCTATGAAGTCTCACACCTGACAAGATGGGGTGAACAAAGTGAACAGTACTGAACTGTGGATCTGATCCAGACTCAGATGATTGTGTGAGATGCCATATTATTAGCATAGCACATGATGATTTCAGCGAACCGAGCTGACTCCAACTGCCAAACATTTTGTTGAAGCAAACACTCCAGTCTTCATTTATTTTATATAGTTTACTGTGAACAACAGCCATGATATAGCACATCTCCTGTGCAATTCTTTCATCAACATTTGGTTTGTCTCTCTCTCTCTCTCTCTCTCTCTCTCTCTCTCTCTCTCTCACACACTCTCTCTCTCCACTCACACACTCTCCTCTCTCATCTCTCTCTCTCTCTCTCTATATATATACACACACACACAATACATATATATATATATATATATATATATATATATATATATATATATATATATATATATATATATATATATATATATATATATATATATATATATATATATACATATTAAAGCAAACAGGTGAGATATGGAAACCAACATTATTTGTCTGAGAATCATTCATGACTGAAATGTTTCCTGCAGGCTGATTTGTATTCAGGAGCTTTGTTTCTGACCCAAGCCATGCCGGAAGCTGAACCTGTATGTTGCCATCATCATCTTGTTGGCTGTTTCTGCACTCTTCACTATAGGAGGTAGAGATAAGAATGTTTTGAGCTGTCTTACCTAATTTTAAACGATTAATTTGTAAGATTGTACTTGCTGTAGTCTAAATCATCTACAAACATTTAACTTTTATACGTATCATTGAGTTTATCATCATCATCATCACCATGTTTCACTTTTGACATTAACCCTACCAGACCTGAGGCCTTGAACCTAACTGCTCCCTATAACCTGAGCTCCTGGGCATTAACACGAAACAACCAACATGATATACAAAAATATCAGTCAAATGCAAACAAGTGGTTAGAATAAGATGAAACTTGGAGAAATTGTAGAAAATAGGTTTAACTTTCATCTAGCGCTAGTATTCCACTTTTGTGTGCCAATCCACCCAGCAGGATCAGCCTTGTTTCACAAAGGGAGCACCAGATGTTGCTGTATGAGGGACACCCCCTTCTCTTACTATTGATCTAGTTTTAAATCTTTCATTTTCAAGATTCTTCTCATCACTGGAGCTCTCACTGACTGTGTCACTTTAACTGAGAACATATTCTTTATGAAATTCTGACTCCTCAGAGTCTGAATCAACCAAAGTAGCGATCATCTGTTAAATGGTGAAAAACCTAGACCTACTTCACTTTCTTGTTGAAGAGCTTAGTTAATCAGCTGCTCGTTTCATTGTGAATTTTCAAGAATTGTTCACATGAAACGACACAAAGTAAATCTAAAACACACGTGGGCAGTCATTTGCAATGACTAACCACTAGGTTTGATCACGACTGGTTGGTTATTTTTAGTTTTGTGACACATTTAACACGCAGTACGCAAAGTACTGAAAATTAGGTATAGCGGTTAACTGACAGATGAGGAAATTACTGGAAAAGCGGTACAGCGGTCTGGTAGAGTTAAGTGTCATGGAGAAAAATAGCTTTTGGTCCAATGCTTAGTGGGTAGTACTGGTTATTATCATTCAGTGTGAATGTTGAATGCTTCAACGTCATTGGTGCATCTTCTCCTTGGATGTTGAATGTCTTTAATGTCATCAGTCCATATTCTCCTTGAATGTTGAATGTCTTTAATGTCATCAGCTCATCTTCTCCTTGGATGTTGAATGTCTTCAATGTCATCAGCCCATCTTCTTCTTGGATGTTGAATGTCTTTAATGTCATCAGTCCGAATTCTCCTCGGGCTGTGCCTTTTTCAAAGCAGATGTAGCAACTACAGTGGTAGTTATTATGGCTGGATTCTAATAAAATGACTGCACTTTATCTTTTTTTTTTTTTTTTAATAATATTGTGCAAGGTGTTGTTCCTACAGTCTTCTGTCATTTCTGACTCAGTCTCAGATGGTTAAGCTGGTGGCTTTTCTAAGCATCTCATTTCACAAGCAATAATGTCATCCAGCTGTGCCTTTGATTATCTCTAAATACTGTTTTTGCTACAGTCTAGACAATTCACAAATGTTTACATATTTCTTTTTCTTCCTCTCTTTTTTTTCTTCCTCTCTTTTTTCTACATTCACCCTTAGAGGGGTGGTTAGCTCTGTATAATTTGCTTCAAAGTTATGCTGTGATATTTGCCATATTTGCTCAACACATCTGATTTCAGCGAATCTTTCATTTACTTGGCCGACTTTTATGCCATAATTGTTAATAGGCAATGGGTATATTATCTGCTTAATCTTTATGGAGCTCCAAATCCCACACAGAGAATTAGGATATGTCATATATACCTTCAAAATAATTCTTTCATTGATTGTTGTTTGATGTTTTGAATGTAATTCTCTCAATTCAATATGTTTAGTATAATTATCTTAATGTCTGTTTTCTTTAAAAAATGTGGAATGACAAATGTAATGTTGTTTGACATAATGTGTTGGTGGATCAGGGAGATCAAGGGCTGTAGATGCTAAATCTTTTGGGTAGCAGAGCACACTTCTGTCAGGGAAGTCTCTGGGTCAAGCAATATGGATACTTGTACCTATGGGGTAAACAAATCCCTCTCAGGTGGTCAATCCCTTGACTTGTCAAACCATTTTACTAAACAAAAAAAAATTCAAGCTGCAATTGGGCTTGACCCAAGAGGCACTTCCTGCCAAGGTGACCTATGATAACCAGTTGCAAGTGGTCCTAGGACAAGACACAACAAATCTAGGAGAGGCAAACCATGTGATTCAAATAAACCCTCAAGTTTAAGGTGGACCTACATGCTGATGGGCTGAATGGCTGTGAAATATTCACTGACAAAACTAAAATTCTTATCAGCAGGAGGGGTAGCCCGAGGTGTACCGACTTGTGACATTGCCTGCCTCTTCACTTGCAGTCAGGCACTATAAGGGTGACTGTTTATTTCTTGCAATGAAAGAATTCTATTTATTGATTATGTACCTAATAACAATTATATCCAGACTTACTGAGTGTGTTGCACTCTTGACACTATTATTAGTTGTTAAGAGAATGCTAGGAATAAAGCCAGTCTTACAGGTCATCAAAGAACAACAAATGAAGTGGTTTGGACACCTAACAAGAATGCCCTGGTACTATCTGTCACAACGAGCCACACTTAAATGATATAACGGGTATAGAGCGAGTGGAGGACCTCGGAAAATATGGAGTGATGGCATTAAGAACAGCATTACAAAAATGAACATCAGTCTTAATAGTGCTCTTGACAAAGCTCATCAATTAATATTACATCTCCCCCGACACTTCGCTGAGGTACAAGGTGGAAGAGAAGAAGAAGAAGAAGAGAAGAAGAAGAAGAAGAAGAAGAAGAAGAAGAAGAAGAAGTTAAGAGAAGGTAAAGTGGAGAAGTCAAGAAAATAGAGAGAAAAGAAGACATATAAATAGTAGAGCAGGTGCTAGAATAGTCAGAAAGCCACAAAAAAAAAAAACCCACAAAACACTGGAGCGCCGGTGTTTACAACTTGCTACAGTGGGCTACTGAAATAGCCATGTTGCCTTACAGAGAGGGTCTGTACTTGCCAGGCTGATGGATGACTTCAGTAATATAATAATTCAAGAGTTTAATACACATAAATATATTAATGACAAATCCTGATATATCAGCTACAGAAATCCTCCTGGGCAGGGAGACATAGGCAAGGTCTGCTGGAGAAGAATGGATTAGAGAATGTGCTACTTGACCTGAACCAATGGAATCAGAGTGCAAGAGAGGTTCATAACTTAGGAATAGATCTTGGTAGTATGACTGGATTTAAATAAATAATGCCACTGTAGACTCTCATCATAGAGCTATAGGCTATATAGAATGGCTCAAGGATTTAGTGGAAATCCCTGGTGCTGGGCATTAAGTGGTCAGTGTCAATATGGTGGGCATTAAGTGGTCAGTGTCAATATGGTGGACGTTAAGTGGTCAGTGTCACTATGGTGGACATTAAGGGGTCAGTGTCAATATGATGGACATTAGGGGGTCAGTGTCAATATGGTGGACGTTAAGGGGTCAGTATCAATATAGTGGGCATTAAGTGGTCAGTGTCAATATGATGGACATTAGGGGGTCAGTGTCAATATGGTGGACATTAAGGGGTCAGTGTCAATATGGTGGACATTAAGAGGTCAGTGTCAATATGGTGGATGTTAAGGGGTCAGTGTCAATATGGTGGACATTAAGGGGTCAGTGTCAATATGGTGGGCATTAAGTGGTCAGTGTCAATATGATGGACATTAGGGGGTCAGTGTCAATATGGTGGGCGTTAGGTGGTCAGTGTCAATATGATGGACATTAGGTGGTCAGTATCAATATGGTGGACATTAGGTGGTCAGTATCAATATGGTGGACATTAGGTGGTCAGTATCAATATGGTGGACATTAAGTGGTCAGTATCAATATGGTGGACATTAGGTGGTCAGTATCAATATAGTGGACATTAAGTGGTCAGTATCAATATGGTGGACATTAAGTGGTCAGTATCAATATGGTAGACATTAAGTGGTCAGTATCAATATGGTGGACATTAAGTGGTCAGTATCAATATGGTAGACATTAAGTGGTCAGTATCAATATGGTGGACATTAAGTGGTCAGTAACAATATGGTGGACTTTAAGCAGTCAGTATTAATATTGTGGACATTAAGTGGTCAGTAACAATATGGTGGACTTTAAGTGGTCATTATCAATATGGGGCACATTAGGTGGTCAGTATCAATATGGTGGATGTTAAGTGGTTAATATCAATATGGTGGACATCAAGTGGTCAGTATCAATATGGTGGATGTTAAGTGGTCAGTATCAATATGGTAGATGTTAAGTGGTCAGTATCAATATGGTAGATGTTAAGTGGTCAGTATCAATATGGTAGATGTTAAGTGGTCAGTATCAATATGGTGGACATCAAGTGGTCAGTATCAATATGGTAGATATTAAGTGGTCAATATCAATATGGTAGATGTTAAGTGGTCAGTATCAATATGGTGGACATCAAGTGGTCAGTATCAATATGGTAGATGTTAAGTGGTCAGTATCAATATGGTGGACATCAAGTGGTTAGTATCAATATGGTGGATGTTAAGTGGTCAGCATCAAGGACTGGAGGCCAACTAGAAGGACAATGAGACCTCGATACGCAGACATGGATATTAGTCGGGAATTATTACACAGTCAACAGTACACAAAGGGGATGATGCTAGGCATGTGTGGGAGTGACCATCTGCCACGCTTAGTCCTAATGTCTCAAACAAGCAGGATCAGGGCTTTGACATAAGTCCTTCAAGCCTCAGGAGACAGAATTGAGCAACTGAACCATCAGCTCTACTTTAGACACAGGCATGGGAATCAAGGATAGCTGCAAACACAGACAATGAGACAGACATCTTAAAGTTACAAGTGGAAGTAGAGAAGGCAGAGTTAGAAACAATCAGGTCAAAGAGTTAAAGTACTTCTTTTTATTCTTTGTGTTCACCAGCTGTAAGCTCTGGGGGAAAGTTCTGGTTGTTCATCCACTTTTGGACTGTAGTCATGTTCCAGAACCAAGTGTTGTGTGTGCATCTTTTTTACAGATCTGGCTCATTTGTATGCAGACTGCTGGTTCCTTGCCTCTCAGGCAGATGCACTCCAACTTTGAACCAAGCTCCCAATTAGTCAACTCTTACCACATGCTTTTGGGTAGGCAGTGGGTCTGTTCTTGTTTTGCCTATAGTAGGGCCCAGGAACCCACACGGGCAAGTTAAAGAACTATAAAATAGATTCTGTAAAAGCTAAAGCTGAATATTCTATGAAAAGTATTGAAGGGGAGAAGTCACTGAATAAGTTGTGGAAACTAAACAGACCAAAGCAAAGTAAAGATCATCCTACCACAACAAACACAGTATACAGAAATAATGGTAGTCTTATGACAACAGACACACTCATTTATAGACAGAATGATCAAAAGTATACAGAAATTAGAGAATCATTTAGAATGTTTCTACTGAATGCAATGTCTTGGCATATAGAGAAAGGGGTCAATCTCTGGGATGTGAACCAGACAACAGCCCTCTAATTTTGTATGGCTACCCTATGTCTGGGCACATGGGTCTCTAAGCCATGGCTGTCCTCTGGGAACATGGGTCTCCGAGACATGGCTGTCCTGTGTCTGGGCACATGGGTCTCCGAGCCTTGGCTGTCCTCTGGGCACATGGGTCTCCGAGCCATGCAGTTTCATCACTGGACTACCATGGCAGAGATGTGCAACAAAACAGAACGATAGCTGCAAACTACTGTGGACAAAGTGACAGGCAGGTGTATAGAGATACATGAACCCAGAAAAGGTGGCTTTTTTGGGGTGCTCTTTCAACAATAGGATTGTTACAGCTGATGTCCCAACCCTCATTAGAAACATAACAAGAGAAAGCAAACTAAGGTACCTGGATATCACTTTAAAACAAGCCTGTCTATCAGTGACTGTGGAAGCAATTGCAGTAATTAGCCAAATGGGACTCAATGCATTGAAAATTATGACTGCAGTAGAGACATGAAGTAAAGAATGCTATTCACAGTGAACCAGCATTTGATCCTATCACTGACTGATTATGGACTAGGACTGCTCTCTGTATCATGTATTATATCAACAAGACAAGCTTAAGTGCAGCCATACATACAGAATGAAGCTAAGTGGATGGTTGAGTTGTACAAGAGGTACCCCAGTAGTGTATATGTAATACATTATTACTGCCAAATATTGTAACAGACTCAGCGTGGTGCAAGGATGGTAATACCTTAAACTAGCTGCACACAAAATAAACCCTCCTGATTATAGCCTGAATACAGCTAAGGGTCACAGGATGATTATAATAGGAAAGACTTGGATGGATGGATCAAGAGAAGATACAATTAGAGATGCTTGTAGGCTGAAACAGTTGTGTGAGGGTCAAACTGGAAGAGCAATAAAATCACAGTTGGCCAGGAATAAAAGGTTGGCCAGGAATACACGGTTGGCCAGCAAATACAAGGTTGGCTTGTGGATACAAGGTTGGCTTATGGATACAAGATTGGCCAGTGGATACAAGGTTGGCTTGTGGATACAAGGTTGGCCAGTGGATACAAGGTTGGCTTGTGGATACAAGGTTGGGTAAAATGTTGGCTTGTGGATACAAGATTGGCCAGTGGGTACAATGTTGGCCAGGAATACAAAGTTGGCCAGTGGCTACAAGGTTGGCCAGGAATACAAGGCTGGCCAGGAATACAAAGTTGGCCAGTGGCTCTGTCCCCATCCTCAGCAGCCAGCACAGAGTTCCAATACTAATGGTGCCCGTCGTAGTCTGGTTGTATGTCTGTCTTTCCTTTCCTCTGAGCGTAGTGTGCCGGTCAAACCCTCTGGTGACACCCAGGTGTCTGTTATGGTGTGATCCACTAACTGAACTCTACTGATATTCCTGCACAGGTGGACTGACTGCTGTAATATGGACAGATTTCATTCAGACAATTATTATGGTGCAGGTGCCTTTGTCCTCATGGTCATGGGTAAGTTACCCTATTTCTTTGCAATGTCATTATGGTAGTATATGTAGCACAGAGATATCATATCTTCTTCTTCTCAAAGTCCATGCCGTGTGGTGTCGGTAGTCATGTCTATCCACAACCTTCTGACTCGTGTGCTAGTGAGCTTTGACACAGATTATGCCATGATGTCAGACTGTCCAGTATCTGTTCTCTAGGTCTCCCTCTGCCTCTCCTCCCCTCCAACTTTCCTATTGTCATGACCTACTCCAGTTTTCTCTTTCTCATCACTTCACCAAAGAATGTAGATTGTCTCTGTCTGATGTGGGCAATCAGTTCTCTTCAGTTTCTTTCAAGACGTCTTTATTACTCTTTTTATCTGTCCAGGGTATTCTTATCATGTCTATGTAAAACCACATCTCCGCAACTTCCATAGAAGAGAGAATAAGACTTGTACAAGTGTTGTTGTTGGCTTACTGTTGATGTCACAAAAACAGAGTTGTTGGAGAACACCAAGTTTAGAGGTTGGCTGGGTCTAACGACCTGCCAGCTTTAATTTGTATATAAGTAAATACATTCTGTACTTAATAATTCATATTTATGTTTGATTTATTCGGTACAGGGACACTTAGAATATATGAATGATTTAGTACTTGAACAATGAAATAAAAGAAATGATGGACATAATTGTAACAGAAAGTTAAAACAAAAGTGTTAGCTTGAACAGCAGAAAAACAGAAGTCATGGAAATTACAAAGAAAATCGACTTTCCAGAATGCAGCATCAAAGTTAAAGTGGCAATCGTCAGGCAAGCTGATATGTTTAAGTACTTGGGTACCCTGACAACAGCTCATGGAAGCTGTGTTTAAACAGTGAAATGTTAGATAGCTCAAGTAAAGTCAACATTTTACAGAGTGAGGAATATTCTAAGCAATCACTCATTGTCAACTGAGATGAGAAAGATAATTCTCAAAATCTATATAAACTCTTTCCTGATATATGGAAGTAAATCATCAACAGTTGGACATTAGATTTAAAATAAACAATTTTTTGGGAGGCGGTGGAATTTTTTTTTTTTTTAGAGGAATGATGAGATTTCTCATGAAAGATAAAAAGAGTCTAAAAGATGTCTGGGAAACAATAATAAAACTGACTCATAAAGTGAACTGACTGCCTAGATCGGAAGGAAATGTTCTCCATTCTTTGGTCATTTCATAAGAAGAAAACAACTGGAGCACATCCTGATAGTGGGAAAGCTGGAGGGGAAAAAGAGGCAGATGAAGATCGATAGAGAGGGGGTTACCAGACAGTCTGACATCATGTCATGGAACATCATCTGTGTCAGAGTTGACTGACAGTACATGAGACAGAAGGTTGTGGATAGACATGGTAATCTGGTAATCTGACTATCAGCGCCACACAGCATAACTATAAGAAAAAGAAAGTCAAAAGTAATGGCCGTCAAATTTAGGCTTAATTAAAGTAGGAAGAAACTGCCTAAAAAAGCATGCTCAATTAAAATCAAAAGTTGTTGCCTTTAAATTTAGACTTTTTTAAAGTAAAAAAAAAAATGTGCAGTAACATGGAAGTTTGATTAAAATTAGAAAATAGCTAAATTAGTCACAAGGTTTCATCACCAAATGTTGAATTGATTTAACTCAAAAAGTATTATCATTGAATTGTAGGTTTGACATCTGTCTCTCCATCAACTGTTTACTGTGGTAGGTTTGAAATCTGTCTCTCCCTAAACTATTTACTCTGGTAGGTTTGACATCTGTCTCTCCATCAACTGTTTACTGTGGTAGGTTTGACATCTGTCTCTCCATCAACTGTTTACTCTGGTAGGTTTGACATCTGTCTCTCCATCAACTGTTTACTCTAGTAGGTTTGACACCTGTCTCTCTATCAACTGTTTACTGTGGTAGGTTTCATTGAAGTCGGAGGATATGAACAACTGCGTCACAGATACTTTTCGTCCTACCCAAATACAACACTGCAGCATCTGGGCAAGAAGGACAACTACTCCTATAGCAGCTGTGGCATCCCCCCTGACAATGCCTATAATCTTGTGAGGTCAGCAGACGATAATGATCTCCCTTGGCCTGGTGTCTTTATTGGCTTAACAGTGTCTTCTGTCTGGTACTGGTGTTCTGACCAGGTTAGTTCATAGCAGTGTAGTTCTTTCTCTTTGTTTGTTTGTTTGTTTGTTTTGTCTGTCTGTCCGTCCGTCCGTCCGTCCGTCCGTCCGTCCGTCCGTCTGTCTGTCTGTCTGTCTGTCTGTCTGTCTGTCTGTCTGTCTGTCTGTCTGTCTGTCTGTCTGTCTGTCTGTCTGTGTGTCTGTCTGTGTCTGTCTGTCTGTCTGTGTCTGTCTGTATCTGTCTGTGTCTGTCTGTCTGTCTGTCTGTCTGTGTCTGCCTGTCTATCTGTCCGTCCGTCCGTCCGTCCGTCTGTCTGTCTGTCTGTCTGTCTGTCTGTCTGTCTGTCTGTCTGTCTGTCTGTCTGTCTGTCTGTCTGTCTGTCTGTCTGTCTGTCTGTCTGTCTGTCTGTCTGTCTGTCTGTCTGTCTTTCTTTCTTTCTCACCTTCTTTTGCTATCTTTCTCATTCTCTCCAGGTTTATGTAATAAATATGTGAATGTAAAGAAATGTTATCTTGATAAATTTATTTTTAGCTACTTTTGGGAAAAAGTTATATTAATGACACCATGTTATTGATAGGTTACTGTTGAGCTTATTTGGGTCATTTCATTTCAAAGATGGGAGGTGAATGGTGATGGTTTTAGAGAGGTTACCAGGATACATTCACATTGAATGAGGTTTCATTATTACGAGAGCATATCTTCATCAATTAGTTTTCTAACTTTGTGGTTGTAAATAAGGGATGTTTAAATAAAACATCATATAATGTCAATATAAAGCGAACGTTATTAGTGAGTTCATATTTTGATGCAACTGACTGTAGAGAATCTATCTTGATTAATTTAATTCCTACTGAGGTGATTGTTCATAGTTTATTATGGTACATTCACATCAAACTCAGATGAATCTTCAGGGAACTCATCTTGATAAATTCAAATCAAATTTAGGTGATTGTCCAGAGAGCACTTGCTGCCAAAAACCTGTCCCATGCAAAGGCTGGTTGCCTGTTGGCTGCATATCTCAAGTTTCTGCCACTTTGGTTGATTGTATTTCCTGGTATGATTGCTAGGGTCTTGTATACTGGTAAGCCAATGTTTTTTTTTTTGATAAATTATCGTTTTGCTCATTTTATACCTTGCTACACACAGTGCATTTGTAAGTTTCTGTTTTCTTTTTGTTTATATTTACATCAGTTTTTTTTCTAGCAATCAGACACTTGATATGACACCCAACAACCTGTTAAATACACAATTATCAAATACACAACTGTCACATTTACAACTGTTAAATACACAACTGCCACATACACAACTGTCCCATACACACTTGTCACACACAAACTGTCCTAAATACAAACAACTGTCACATATGCAGCTGTTGGATACACACCAGTCACCTATACAATTGCCACATACATAGCTGTTGACTACATAACTGTCACATACACATCTATTATATTGCATGCACAACAACTGTCACATTTACAATTGTTGAATACACAACTCTCACATACACAACTCTTACATACACAGCTGTTAAAGCCACTACTATTACATACACAACAGTCACATACACAACTGTTACACACAGAATTGTCACATACACACATGTCATATACATAGTTTTTGAATACACAACTGTCACATACACAGCTGTTAAAGACACAACCATTACATTCACAACTGTCACATACACCATTATCACATACACAGCTGTTGAATACACAACATTACATACACAACTGTTAAATATGCAACCATTACATACACAACTGTTAAATATGCAACCATTACATACACAACTGTCACATACACAACTGTCATATACATACCTGTAACATACACAACTGTCATATACATACCTGTAACATACACAACAGTCACATACACAACTGTCACAGGCATATCTATCACATACACAGCTGTTAAAGACACAACCCTTACATACACAACTGTCACATCATTCATTCATTCATTCAGTAGCATGTCCCTCGCGGAACCTCGCAGCCATAACAACCCTCCGGAAAACCTTCCTATCCTGAGCAAGATGTCCTGCGTCTGATACACCCATCTGGAGATCATCTGCCACATCCTGCACCCATCTTCTCCTTGGCCTTCCTCTTCCTCTCTTCCCAGGCATATACCCCTCCATTATTGTTCTCTCTAGACTTCCATGACGTTTCAAGTGACCAAAATATTTCAATTTTCTTTGTTTTATTGTCTTTACTAGCCAACCCTCTTCAATATTCAGCTCTTGAAGTATGGATGCATTTGTTCTTTTCTTTACCCAAGATATTCTTAGAACCTGTCTGTAACATTTATATTCAAATGCATTTATGCGCTGTTCCGCTTGTTTAGTAAGTGTCCAGGTCTCACAGGCGTATGTTGCAATGGGAAAGATGCATGCTCTTAAAAATCTGACCTTTGTAATTCTATCTGTACAATTCCATAATTTATTCAGTTGTTTTAGTCTTTGAAGAGCAATTGATAGTCGCCGTTTAATTTCTTTCATTGTGTCACCATTGTTGGTAACCAGTGACCCAAGATATTCGAAATTTTCTACCACTTCCAATCTTTCCTCATTAACATATATTTCCTTCTCCATGGCAGTTTTGTTTGTATGCATTATCTTTGTTTTTGCTATGTTAAGAAATAAGTTATGATTTTCACTATTTCTATGGAGTGAGGTTAATAAGTTTTCTAAACCATTTTGTGATGTTGATAGTAATACTGTATCATCAGCATAACGAATTTCTGGTATTTCATGACCACCGATGTTTAGGGCATCATATTGTTCCTTGTTTATATCATCTCTTACATTTCTCATTATATTTTCGGCGTACAGGTTGAACAAATACGGTGACAGCACACATCCCTGTTGGACTCCTTGCTTGATGCCAAACCAGTCTGATGTCTCTCCATCTATTCTGACTGCTGCTTGTTGGTCTTGATAGAGCATTTTAATGAGCTGCACTATATGTGATGGAAAGCCCATATTCCTCATGATTTCCCAAAGCTTCTGATGTTGTACACAGTCAAATGCTTTTGAATAATCCACAAAACATAAGAACAGATTTACATTAAATTCTCTACTGTCACATCACAGCTGTTAAATACCTAATTATCATATACACAACTATCACGCACACAAGTGTCTCATACACAGCTGTCATTTACACAACTGCTACATACATAGCTGTTAAATACACGACTGGTAATCTGGTAATCCTAGTTTCAGCATCATAGCAAACAGGTCATCCCATTGTTGCTCAGCTCCTGTGCCAACGAAAAACACACATAGCTCACAGTGTCACACCATGCACTCAACTTAGAAGCTGGGCGACGAAACTATATCCTTCCAGTCTACAAATGGAGCAAAAATGCGACGGCCACCGCCTGGCTAAAAAAAAAAAAAAAAGTGGCCGTGCCTAGCGTCCATTTTGACCTGAAGAATTATGTGAGGGTTAATAAATGGTCGCCCCAGCAGTACCCTCACTATTAGCTGGGGAAGGGACTTAGGACATTACATCCATCAGCAGGCGTCGCCCCTACAACGACCTGACTGCCTTCGTTAACGACTGTTCACCCAACAGCCATGCAGTTCTTTGGCACGAAGGAGACAACTTGAACTTGGGTTTCGGAATGCCGACTTCCTACAAGATGTTATTTTATGTTTTGTTATCACAATCGACGTCACTGCACATTGGGCATACCCATGCGTGCTCAGTTCTCCGAAGCAGCAGCCACTCCAAAGTACTTCTACTAATTGTCCCCATGAGAAGCTGGTTATATTGTCTCCTTTCTCTGCCTCGAAGACGGCAAAGACGTGCATCACCATGCTTAACTCCTATGTCACGCATTTGTGTTAGTGTCAGGGATTCGACATTATCCACAAGCCCAGTACGGACAGCGTTGACGATATCTGCTCTGTCCATGCTTTTTCCCTCAATCATTGGTGCAGTGCTTGCCAGTTGGTCCGCTCGCTCATTTCCCTTTACGCCCGCATGACCCAGTGTGTAGATCCAGGTTATGGAAGTTAGTGCGATTTCCTGAATATTTTCTATCCTTTCAGAGCGCATATATACACGACTGTTACATACAGACTGTCACTCATACAACCATCACATACAGAACTTTCACATGCAGTGATGTTAAATACGTAACTACTGTTACAAACACCACTGTTGTATACATTTACGAAACTGTCGCATATAGAAATGTCACATACAGAACTGTCACATAAGATCTGTCACATTATTATCTGTCACTTACATAATTATAACATACATAATTTTTAACATAAATAATTGTCAACTGTCACATACATAATTGTAAACTGTAACAAAAATACTGTCAACTTTCACAAATATACTGACCACTCTCACATACTTGACTGTCAGCTGTCATAAACATAAACAACAACTGTCACATACATAATTCCTACTGTTATATACATCACAGTTAAAAGATATACATTGCTGACAACAATCCCATATATTGCTGATATCTTTCACCTGAATCGTTTGACAATCACAAAATGACTGAAATCAGTTGCACTCATTACTGTTAATCAACCACAAGCAACATGCCACTTTAGCCAGAAAACTGGCAACTCAGTGACAGATTATTTGTGTGAGTTAGAGCAGGACTTGTGTGTGTGTGTGCGTGCGTGCATGCATGCGTGCAATCGTGCGTGCGCGGGTGGGTGGGTTCCAATACTGATGGTACCTGTCACAATCTGGTTAAATGTATGTCTTGTTTTTCCTCTGATTGTTGTCAGCCGGCTAGACCCTCTGGTTACATCCAGGAGCCTGATTCTCTCCAGGCCGTAATAATCTTCTTTCTCTACTGATTGACCACATCTGCCTTGTTTACAATCAATGAGAATCCAAAGGTACTATTTTCAGAACAACATATAACAAATCTGGATATCTGTCTATTCCACATACACGGCCCTCTTGTAGACAAGGTGGCCTGTGCTGACCCTGCTGTGTGCCAGGGTGTTTGTGGACAAAGCAGCTGCACAAACATTGCCTTCCCTACCCTAGTGCTGGAACTCATGCCAGCAGGACTGCGGGGCCTGATGCTGGCGGTGATGATGTCTGCCCTCATTTCCTCGTTGACTTCCATCTTCAACAGCAGCAGCACCATATTCACCATGGACATCTGGAGGAGGATCAGAAAAAATGCCACGGAGGTGGAGCTGATGATTGTTGGAAGGTGAGAAAGTGCTGTCTGAACACAGGTGGAGCTGATGATTGTTGCAAGGTGAGAAAGTGCTGTCTGAACACAGGTGGAGCTGATGATTGTTGCAAGGTGAGAAAGTGCTGTCTGAACACAGGTGGAGCTGATGATTGTTGCAAGGTGAGAAAGTGCTGTCTGAACACAGGTGGAGCTGATGATTGTTGGAAGGTGAGAAAGTGCTGTCTGAACACAGGTGGAGCTGATGATTGTTGGAAGGTGAGAAAGTGCTGTCTGAACACAGGTGGAGTTGATGATTGTTGGAAGGTGAGAAAGTGCTGTCTGAACACAGGTGGAGCTGATGATTGTTGGAAGGTGAGAAAGTGCTGTCTGAACACAGGTGGAGCTGATGATTGTTGGAAGGTGAGAAAGTGCTGTCTGAACACAGGTAGAGCTGATGATTGTTGGAAGGTGAGAAAGTGCTGTCTGAACACAGGTGGAGTTGATGATTGTTGGAAGGTGAGAAAGTGCTGTCTGAACACAGGTGGAGCTGATGATTGTTGGAAGGTGAGAAAGTGCTGTCTGAACACAGGTGGAGCTGATGATTGTTGGAAGGTGAGAAAGTGCTGTCTGAACACAGGTAGAGCTGATGATTGTTGGAAGGTGAGAAAGTGCTGTTTGAACACAGGTGGAGCTGATGATTGTTGGAAGGTGAGAAAGTGCTGTCTGAACACAGGTGGAGCTGATGATTGTTGGAAGGTGAGAAAGTGCTGTCTGAACACAGGTGGAGCTGATGATTGTTGGAAGGTGAGAAAGTGCTGTCTGAACACAGGTAGAGCTGATGATTGTTGGAAGGTGAGAAAGTGCTGTTTGAACACAGGTGGAGCTGATGATTGTTGGAAGGTGAGAAAGTGCTGTCTGAACACAGGTGGAGCTGATGATTGTTGGAAGGTGAGAAAGTGCTGTTTGAACACAGGTGGAGCTGATGATTGTTGGAAGGTGAGAAAGTGCTGTCTGAACACAGGTGGAGCTGATGATTGTTGGAAGGTGAGAAAGTGCTGTCTGAACACAGGTGGAGCTGATGATTGTTGGAAGGTGAGATGTGGGAAGAAAGTGCTGTCTAAACACAGGTTTAAGTTTAACTGTCTATGATCTATGAAATATAATTAAATGTCATAAATTTCTAAATCAAAAGAAATGATGTTATATTTCATGAAATATTCAGTTTCAACTAAATATCTTTTGTGTTTTGGAAATTTCAGTTTCTAAAATTTCACTCTATTAAATTAAATTTCCAATTTCGAGACAAGGTTGCTAAATGCCTTAGAATAAAGCTTACAAAAGGATGTTACATATCAAGTCAAGGTTGCTATATGTCATATAATATAGTTTACAAAATGATGTTACATATCAAGACAAGGTTGCTAAATGTTTTAGAATATAGCTTACAAAATGATGTTACATATCAAGGGATAGCATGTTTCTGTGTCATTTAATTATTTGGAATTTATATGAAATAAAGTCTTTTGTCAAGTAATATTTTTGTAAATGTCATGATATTTCCATTCTCCAAGAGTGAAAGCTAACATTTCCTCTATTTAATTGTGATTAAGTACTGAGAAATTACACCACTCACAATTAATGTGAAGTCACTAACTTGTGAATGTGACTCCCTCTAGCGTGCAGCATGATCTTGTATCCTCCCTTAGCATTACAACATGATTGTGACTCCCTCTAGAATGCAGCATGATCTTGTGTCTCCCCCAGCAATACAACATGATTGTGACTCCCTCTAGAATGCAGCATGATCTTGTATCATCCCCCAGCATTACAACATGATTGTGACTCCCTCTAGAATGCAGCATGATCTTGTATCTCCCCCAGCAATACAACATGATTGTGACTCCCTCTAGCATGCAGCATGATCTTGTATCATCCTCCAGCAATACAACATGATTGTGACTCCCTCTAGAATGCAGCATGATTTTGTATCATCCCCCAGCATTACAACATGATTGTGACTCCCTCTAGCATGCAGCATGATCTTGTATCATCTTCCAGCATTACAACATGATTGTGACTCCCTCTAGAATACAGCATAATCTTGTATCTCCCCCAGCATTACAACATGATTGTGACTCCCTCTAGAATGCAGCATGATCTTGTATCTCCCCCAGCAATACAACATGATTGTGACTCCCTCTAGCCTGCAGCATGATCTTGTATCTCCCCCAGCAATACAACATGATTGTGACTCCCTCTAGCATGCAGCATGATCTTGTATCATCCTCCGGCAATACAACATGATTGTGACTCCCTCTAGCATGCAGCATGATCTTGTATCATCCCCAGACTCTGTGTGCTGATCTTGGTTGGTGTTGGGATTGCATGGATTCCTATTGTACAGAGTGTCACTGAACTGTTTCACTACATACAGGCCATCACCAGTTTCTTATCGCCCCCAATCTGTGCCGTTTATGTGCTGGCTATTTTCTGGAAGAGAACCAATGAAGCTGTAAGTGTCTTAACATAAAACATTAATGGACAGCAATATAAGGACATATAAGAAAGAATTATAATCAAATAAAAGTGGGGAGATAACAAGGAAAGACCTGTGGTGTGATCATACAGTCATTTTGACACCTCTTGATGTGCAGTAAATACTAATACTCTTTTCATAGAATCAACACGCCACTGCGCTGATTGCACTTTCTTAAATCTGTCTTCTTGAAAATGCAGGGAAATTTGTAGATACATTTTACTGTCTGTCTCATAAAAATCTGGCCACTTATGCACCATGCTGTGACTGCCATCTTGAATACCATTATCTCCATCAGGAATACATACATCTGTTCTCCAGCATTAGTATTATTATCTTGCTCACACATATACCTGCAGACTGTAGCCTGGTAGTGTCTCCCTCCCTTGTACTCCTTGATGTACAACCAAATATGGCTGTGGGTATATTGTGTCTACTGTTAAAACTGTACATTTGTCACTGCCCAACGTATATTTATGTTATTTCTGAAACTGTAAGTAAAAAGTAAAGATCCCCTTTCCAGGCTTTTGGGAATATAGGGTTGCACCTGTATTTGTATAGACCAATCAGCACTTGGTGGGTGATGTGGTCAGCGTGTGTGTGTGTGTATGTGTGTGTGCATGCATGTGTGTGTGTGTGTGCATGTGTGTGTGTGCGTGTGTGTGTGCATGTGTGTGTGTGCATGTGTGTGTGCGTGCGTGCGTGTGCATGTGTGCGCGTGCGCATGTGTGTTTGTGTGAGACATACAGTTTCACAAGTGACAAATATATATGTCACTTTTCAAACCATACATGTTAACCTGTTTAAAGTATATACCATGTGTCTGTAAAGTCATGGTGCACTTTTAACATGTCGCAGGAAAACAGTGACTTTACAGACACACAGTATTTGTAACATGTACATGTAACACTATACAATGTATATATTGTCACTTTCGAAACTGTATATAAATCATGGGTAAAAAAAATAAAAACATACAGGTATATATATATACACACACACATATTTGTCACTTTTGAAACTTTACATGTTACTCTTGAAAGCATATATTTGTTACTTCTTTCATAAACTTTACATGTTTCTCTTGAAAGCATATATTTGTTACTTCTTTCATAAACTTTACATGTTACTCTTGAAAGCATATATTTGTTACTTCCTTCATAAACTGCACATGTAATTCCTGAAAGTGTATATTTGTCACATATAGAACTGTTTTTCTTCCTACAGGGTGCCTTCTGGGGCCTGATGCTTGGTCTATGTATTGGGATCACCCGTTTTGCCTGGGAGTATTCATACACAAATTACCCATGTGGAGAAGGGTACAAGTCTGAGAAGCCAGACATCATTAGCAAAGTTCATTATCTACATTTTGGCATTCTTCTCTTTGGAATAGTCTTTGTCACAGTGGTAGTCATAAGCCTTCTGACTGCACCCATTGATGACATCCATGTGAGTTGATCTGTGTGTTGTCTGCTTATCTGTACACTTAACTGCATGATGATCACATATTCTAAGGTAAAATGCAATCTAACCAGTGGCAAGGCATGAATTTCCAGAAAATGTAAGCAACCTTTGTAATATCCCTCACCTATTACTCCTTATCAGTTTCAACTGCTACAGCCAATGAATTTCTGTGTAGTTATTAGCACTAAAGAATTGTGTCATTAGTAAGTCTTCCCTCACACTATTAGGGAATACAATCATAATAAAAATATTAGTCAAAACATTAAAAAAACTTTGTAGAGTGTCAACACAAAGTAATCATTGGTGGCCACCTCGCATGATTGTGTGATGGTTGAGTTCAGTTGCAAATATCGATCTTCCTATTTCACAAATAAAGCTGTTTCTGCTGTGATGCTTTATACTCTAGTTTAAAATTAATTAAAATTAAAGTGAAAATTATTCATGAAAACTGTGCTCTGCTAGATAAGTATAAACATGCATTGTAATTATGATTGTGTAAACAACAGTGCCTACACTAGTGCCAAATGTGAAACACTGAAATGTGCAAACTAACAAAGAATATCAGACCACTGAAGATGTTGGAAGCATTCCTTGGTCTATGAAATAAATACATCATCAAAGTAGAGCAGGTTCTTTGCAGAACGTCACTCTCAACACAGTCTCCTTGAAAGAAAGATGGTCTTTTGCCAGCTCTCCCATCTCATGCACTTTCATATTCAAGGATTTACTTATATCCCATATTTGTGTTGGTCGGCCCTTGCCCCTCCTTCCTGGTACCATTCATTCTGCTATTATTTGTTTCAATCCGTCTTGCACTTGAAATCATTAAAATATTTCATCTTCTGAGACAAGATGCTGTTTATTTGCCAATCTTCCTTGATGTTCAGATCTTTTAAAATGTCAGTATTTCCCTTTTTCTTTGTCCATGACATTCTGAGAATCTTTCTATAGCATTTCAGCTCAAAAATTCCTATTCTCTTTCTGTATATTGCTTCACGGCAGATGAATGCTCTCAAAATTTCAATTTTGATATCCTTGCTGATGCTTAACCATAGACTTTTAATGCTGTTTAATCTTTGCATTGCTATGACCATCCTCCTTTTAATTTCTGTCGAACAGTCTCCATTGTTGTTTATTATAGAGCCTAGATGTTCAAAGTTTGTGACATTTTTAATTTCTTCATCATTTATTGTTATTTTTTTGGGTGACAGGCAGTTTTGTCTGTGGACATTTTTTTGTCTTTTCTTGAAATTCAAGAACAGGTTAAATTTTCACTGTGCTTTTAGGCAGACATGATTATATATTCTGTTCCATTGATATTGTTTGAAAGGAGGACTGTGTCATCTGCATGGTGAAGTTGTAGAATAGGATTGTCACCAATTATAAGTGGTCTGATCATTTTTGACATTTCTCTTGATGTTTTCTGCATATGTATTGCATAGGTATGTTGAGTGAATGCACCTAAGCCCCACTTTTCTTTTGCACCTTGAACCAGTCTGATGTTTCACCAGCTGCTTTGATGGTTGCTTGTTGTTCATGGTATATACCTTTAATTTCCAGATGTGCTGGAAATCTCATACTTCTCATAAAACTCCACAGTTTCTGATGTTGGACACAATCAAAAGCCTTACTTTAATCAATGAAACAAGAATGGAGATCTACATTGCATTCTCTACAGTTTTCAAAGATTGTTCTCATATTAAAGATATGATCCATAGTTCCTCTACCCTGTCTGAACCCCGCTTGTGCTTTATGTAGCTCATATTGTAATTTCCTTTCAATTCTATTCATGATAATTCATAAAAAGATTTTGCTAGCATGACTTATTAATGCGATGGTATCGTAGTTGGAGCATAGTTTCAGATTTTCTTTCTTTGGGAGAGGGATATAGACTGTTCTTTTCCATGCTTTAGGCAAAATGCCACTGTTCCAGATCTTCGTGCACAGTGCATGGTAGATTTGGATGCTGGCTTTTCCTCTTCATTCATATTAAAGTTGACTGAAATTGTAGCAAATTATATATGCGTGTGTGTGTGTGTGTGTGTGTGTGTGTGTGTGTGTGTGTGTAGATTACTTGTTAAACAAAACTGCAAAATAACATAGGTGAGTTAAACCAAGGGTATAATGAAATACCCTGAAAAATTACCACCAACAAATTAGAAGTCATAACTAGAGAAGAAAAGTAATAAACATCATCTCACAGAACATGTCTTGAAATAATTACAAACTTAAGTACTTAGGAATCATTGTTACATTGACTGGAAATTCACAAAAAGAGATCAATCATAGAGATAATAAAAAAAAAATTTGATTTGAACAAATGACACTAAAAATGAGAAACAAATGAGTATCAATAGAGAGAACTCAGAGAGAAGATGAAAATAGGTATTAGTTAGTTAGTTAGTTAGTTAGTTAGTTAGTTAGTTAGTTAGTTAGTTAGTTAGTTAGTTAGTTAGTTAGTTGGTTAGTTAGTTAGTTAATTAGTTAGTTAGTTAGTTAGTTAGTTAGTTAGTTAGTTAGTTAGTTAGTTAGTTAGTTAGTTAGTTAGTTAGTTAGTTAGTTAGTTAGGTTATCATCATTGCACTCCGGACATGTCCATAGGTGCTCAGATCCTCCCCTCAGTATGAACTCTAACGTCCGATGGCTAATAAAACCAGTTCTATGTTGATTAACAAGTCTTCTGGCGTGTCTGGTGTGCGTCTCGTTTTTTGCTATGCCGATCTTAATTCCCAAGTCTGCCATTCTGGCGAGTGATGTGGATTCAACAAAGTCCTCCATCCTTCCCATTTCTCAGAGGGCATTGATAATATCAGCATGATCCATAGGCTGACCGTCGGTAGTGATAGCGGATCCAGCCAACCTGTCAGCTCTTTCATTTCCATCGACGCCTGCGTATCCCGGAACAAAAATAAAGGTGACTTCACGCACAGTGGACTTCTGAATTGATTCAAGCCATTGTCTTCGCACTGAACCTGCCTGAACCCTCCAGATCATACTCATTGAATCACTGAGTATACATATGCGGGTGTATTTTTGTGTTTCAAGCCAGGCAAGCGCTTGCGTCACTGCCATCACCTCCATCGTCATGCTGCTGGTTGTCATGGAGAAGGCGCCGTTGGCTTCTTTGACTGTTCTGCCCGCTGAGCGTGCTGTAAATGCCCATGTGCTTCTTCTTTGGCGTATAACGGATCCGTCTGTATAGATTAGTGCATCTGCTTCGTCTGAATTTTCACTGATGAGAGCGTTGACCTCTGCATTAACAGCAACAGGATTCTCTTCTCTACATCGCCTGTTGAGTGTGACAATACAGGAAAGTGTACAAATAAACGCCTGAGGCACAGGTATCCATTCTGCACCAGGTATGATGTCGGTTAGGCTGCATATTTGCCTAATAACATCTTCTGCCCGACCTAGCCACGATTTTCCCCTCTTCAGTCTGTCGCCCTTTTCACTAGAAAGCGCTTGATGCAGTGGGTGTTTCTTATCAGCACATATTTTGAGGTATGCCCGAGCCCTCCACATCCTGATCCTTTGGTTCATTGTTGGAAAGTCAAGTAGATACCTCATTGCTCCACAGGATGTGTCTCTAGTACATCCCAAAATAATGCGCATGGCTTCATTTTGCACCTTTTCGAGTCGTTCAATCTGGGTAGCACTGACAGTGAGGATGGCCAGAGCGTATTCAATGGGTGAAAGGACCAGACCGTAGAATAGAAGTATTAGTAGTCTTTGCTCGATATTGGAAGCAGCCATAATCCTCATTGCAGATAGACCTTTGCGTGCTTTTGTTATCACATGGTCAACGTGTTCCCTGAATGACAAGCTGCGATCGAACCTCACCCCGAGAAACGTCATAACGTTGGTTCTGATCAATACATTATCACGCATTTTCACTTCTGGTAAGTCCGACTTGACAATGTGATTGACACTGGTGCCTTTGAAGAATTGACATAGGCATTGGAGCCATCACACCAGGCGGCAATTCGATCGAGTTCTTTGTGCATTGTGCTGGCGATCTCCTGTCTATCACGCCCTCGTCGATAAATCAAAATGTCATCAGCAAATAACAAATAGGTATATGAAAATAGGTATATGAGTTAGGAGTGGCTATCTTCACGGCACTCTGGACACCTTCAGTTTTAGATATGGCTAATAGAAGAAATATACATCTGAAAAGCCAGACATCATTAGCAAAGTTCATTACCTACATTTTGGCATTCTTCTTGTTTTCTTCATTTGTCAGATAATAGATAGTTATGTAACAGATTTATAGATAGTTATGTAACAGATATATAGATAGCTATGTAACAGATATATAGATAGTTATGTAACAAATATAGATAGTTATGTAACAGATATACAGATAGTTATGTGACAGATATACAGATAGTTATGTGACAGATATACAGATAGTTATGTAACACATATACATATAGTTATGTAACAGATATACAGATAGTTATGTAACAGATATACAGATAGTTATGTAACAGATATATAGATAGTTATGTAACAGATATATAGATAGCTATGTAACAAATATTAAGGCCTTGATACATTTACCAAGGTCAATAAACAGTGTAAGAAACAAAATACACAAATGTATATGCGTTCATGCATGTATGCACAGAAATGTGTATGTGTGTGGAGGGTGAGTAGGAGGGTGGGGGTGGCCGGCCAAGTACATACTCCTAGAGAAAGACAACAAGACAATGTAGTTGTCTGAGGATAGCAGACTGGAATCCTAGGGCCCATAGCTTTCAAGTTTTTATCATCTAACGTGTTTGTCCCTACTTCTGATTTTTTTCTTTTCTTTGTGCGCCAATCAAAGCCCATACAATATTGTTCTCCCACAATGAAGATGTAGGCACTTATTACAGAAGATCTGTCACATGTGATTCTCATCTCTGGCAAGTGTCAGTAGAGCTAACACATCTGAAGAGGGCCGCTCACTGTGGCAGTGGCAGTGGATGCTGAGTTACATG